CAAAAAATCTTAAATTACATTACTCTGAGGAATTTTCAACCTTTCACAAGTTATATAACATTGTCATTGACTTGATACTTATGAGATATTTGCATACCTGTAACTTCACTATTTTTTTCTGGAGGAAGATTAGCCCTGAGCTAACATCCACCACCAATCCTTCCCTTTTTGCTGAGGAAGATTGGCCCTTAACTAACATCTGTGCCCATCTTCATTTATTTTATATGTGGGAGGCCTGCTCTAGCATGGCTTGATGAATGGTCCGTTGGTCCACGCCCAGGATCTCAACTGGAGAACCCAGGCTGCCGAAGTGGAGCACACAAACTAACAACTATGCCACCAGGCCAGCCCCTGTAACTTCACTATTTTAAAGAAAGACGTGTGTAATAAACTAGATATTATTTCAAGAAACAAGAGCCAGACTTTTTCTTGGCAGAAATCCATTCAGACATTAGATTTGTTTTATTTGTTTAGTGACCCAAGTCTTTTTAAAAACCCTACATGTTTTTAAGCCACAAAGTTAATATATTTCTTTGTTGACAGGGCTTTTACTCTCACTTATGTTTCTACAAAATGGGAAAGTTGGTCATTTTCATTTTGCTTCCTTACTAGCCAGTTTCCCTTTGGAACATCAATATTAATATCAATATTAATAATTAATATTAATATTTAATTAATATCTCTGAAACATAAGTTTTTTCTCATAATTATATTTATTTAATATAAATGCAAAAAGAGGAAGATTGGAAACAGAGGTTTGCTCAGGGCCAATCCCCCTCACACACAAACACAGATCTTCGGGTGACCCAACTGAAGCATCTTTACTAGGTTTTACAACTATAACTTAAATAATTATTCTGTTTTATTATACACACATCCATATATATTATAGGTTATATATGTGTGTGTATATTTATCAGAAAACATGTCTAAATATTTACAAAATAAATCTACTAGAACAAAACCGATTTGGTTTCCTAGTGGGCTTTGAAATGTTAATAAACTTAAAAAAACATTTCCTATGTCCTATGAGGTCCAGCCTCATGTTGTCCTGCACACATACGTGATTTTGTGTATTACCACTGTTTACCGAGCTCACTGTACTCCAGTCACATTGGTTTTCTCTCAGTCCCAGGAACTGCTAAGCTCTTCCCCTTTCAAAGCCCTATGGTTATCATCCAGGAAGACTGGCCCTTCAGGTCTTCTCATGCCTTCCAGGTCTCTGCATACATGGCATGAATATAATCTTTCACAGAGAAGCTTTATCTAGACACTCTAAGGGACTTACCCTTTGGTTTTCTTCATCAAAACCCCTAATTTCTTTCCTTCATGGCACCAATGACAATTCTTATTTATTTAAAGTATTTATTTCTTTAAATGATTGCCTTCTCTCCTCAAGAGAGTGTGCTCTCAATAAGAGCAGAGTCACTCTCTGTCATGTTCTCTATTAAAGCCCTATCAAACAGCATAGTATGTGGTACATGTGTACATCAGTACAATAAATCTTGGGTGATTTAATAATTAATGGGAAGAAAACCCATGAAACATATTGAGATTAAGTCTCTGATCATGGGAGATTTTTGCCTCTACATCTACAATCTCAACCTGACTGAAGTTTTACATGGTTTTGGAAGAGTCTGGGGCTGGCCCACTGGCATAGTGGTTAAGTTTGCATGGTCTGCCTTGGTGGCCTGGGGTTCACCAGTTTGGATCCTGGGCACGGACCTACACACAGCTCATCAAGCCATGCTGTGGCAGCATCCTACATAGAACTAGAAGGACTTACAACTAGGATATACAACTATGTACAGGGGCTTTGGGAAGAAAAACAAAATAAGAGGAGGATTGCTTGGCAACTGATGTTAGCTCTGGGCCAATCTTTCTCACCAAAAACCATGACTAAAATATATATATATATATATATATATATATATATATATGTAATTTTATATATATATATATGTAATTATATATATGTAATGTAAGCAAACTGAAGAGTCAGTCTTCTAGGGATATGGGAAAGGGGATATACAGGTAATGGGAAAAGAAATGAATTAAACAATTAGATATTAAAATAATTACTAGGGAGCAAAAAGTGCTTATGTGAACATTCCAGGCTTAACTTACCATTCAGCAAACATTACTTGTGAGATCACTAGTTCCTAAACACTGTGCTTCTGTGCTTGAACCCATAAATACAGTGACAAACAATACTTCCAGAGAGACACTGCTCTCATTGATTCAAACTTAAGGTTATCCAAGACCTGATATATCTTGGGTGCTCAAAAATTGTGGCAATGCTATTTCTAGAAAGAGATTTATTATATGAAGTATAAACAGAAGAATCAAATCAGGAGTCAAACAGAAGTCTCCTGAGGGATTTCTTCCAATTGACAGTTTATTTTTGACTCATAGAATTCTTTCTCCATTTATAGGTAGGATTTATTTTTACTTTATGGGTTTGTTTTGCAAATATTCTGTAATTTTTTGCATCTAAACATGAATTTGATTTACTTTTAAACATGACTGAAACAAAAACAAAAGTAAACAGAAAATATCACATAAAAATTAATACTAGAGAGTGTTTTTTTCATCATATTCAGTTGACTTTTGATAGAATGGAGAATAATTTCCTTGAGATAACTCATTCACTTATTTGTTCCTTCATTTCTTCATCCCACATATATAACAATTTCTTAATGGATCCTTTTTACCATATACTGTGTTAGCATGAAAAACAGATAAGGAGAATTATTTTTCTTTATCAATAAGTTAAGAATGTAGTCAGGGATTTATGGAGAGAGAAAGAGAATGAATCAGAGGCATCTAAAACTCCATTGCTTTAGAGTACTTGAAAGGAAAAATTAATAATACTGATTCTGTCAATATTAAAAATGTTGATATTTGGTTTATCATGGATTTTTAAATTAATTTTGTTTTTTCTCAAATATTTGATTAAATAAAATTTATCTCAATTACTGGTATTGTGTGTACGTGTGTATTCCCTTAAAGTTTTTGATGCAACTGCCTCATTCATCTCACATTAGTACCAGAAAGGAAGGAATGGAGAAAGAGAGGAATGGAGAAAAAGTCCAGATGAAATATAAGGATAGTGGTTGTAGTGGGTTGAATTGTGGCCCCAAAAGATATGTTCACATCATCCTGGAACCTGTGAATGTGACCTTATTTGGAAAAAAGTCTTTGCAGATGTAATTAAGTTAAGGATCATGAGCTGAAATCATCATGGTTTATCCACATGAGCCCTAAATCCAATGACAGGCATCTTTATATGATACACACAGAGAAGACACACATAGGGAGAAGAGGAGGAGGCCATGGAGAAATAGAGACAGAGTTGGTGTCATGCAACACACAGACCCATGAGAAGCTGGAAGAGGCAAGGAAGGATTCTTCCTCACAGCCATTGGATAGAGTGTGAGCCTCCAGAACCGTGGGAGTATAATTTTCTCATTTTTAAGCCACCGAGTTTATGGTAATTTGTTACAATAGCCCTAGGAAACTAATAACGTGGTGAAAAATGTGTTAAGCACTATAACACCACAGAGTAGGAAGCAATCAGTTGTGCTGAAGAGTCAAGAAATGCAAAACAGTTATGAAAAGGGGGCTACCAAAATGTATCTTCAGGGCTGTTATGACTTGAACAGATGTAAACAAATTGAGAGCAGCATGAAGGGGAGTCCAGGCAGGGGACACTAAGATCTGAAAGATAATTGGTGCTTAGGGTATGGTTGTTTGTGTGTGCTTGTGTTGTTAAGAATGAGTTTGGAGGCAAACTATCAACTGTACTTCATGTTATGCCAGTTTATCGACTATGATGTTATCTGGAGTTCATAACTCTGTGAAATTTTTAACACTTTTGTATAGTGAATAATACAGCTGATATATTAATGAGTTTATTTTTAATAAGGAATAGCAGAGACTAGAAACTAAGCATATTCACTTACATTTTATTATACATTAATATGATTAAAAACTGATGGAATTCCTAAATAAAAGCAGATATTATTAGTAGCATTAGCCAGAATAGATTTAATAACAAATGTTTTGCTCTAAACATTAGAACATCATGAATGAAATTACTATGTGGTCTGCTAATATGTATGTCTATAGATATAGATAGCAATATATATATGTATGCATATACTGATATCTAAATCTAGATAGATAGAGATAGCTAGCTAGCTATGAAGGCATTTCTAACGTGCTGTCTTTCTTTATCTGAGTTCGGCTCTTTGATATATTTGATAGATCGAGAGTTTTAATTTTGTTTGCTTTGTTTGTTTGATTAGGTAAAGTCATGAAAGGTGAAGAATGGATTAAGCATGGTGCTTGCTGAAAGCAAAATGTTCCTTTAGCTGTTATGAAGCAAAGAGAGATCTATAAGCACTAGGAATCTATTGAATTTAGACCAGTGGAAAATGTTGCGTTTTTGTGTCGTTCTTTCTTTATCAATGGGGAAGATAGTACTGGGGTGACAAATCCTTTTCATTATGAAAAATAATATAATTAAAACCTGAAACATTGTGGGAATGTTCTCTATGTAATGCTTCATTTATTTCAGACACGTATTTCCCAGAAAGATTCAAAGTTCTAAGAAAACTCAGTCCTGGTAATCATATTCCAGGAATAGCTATTGCATCTTTAGAATAATCTAGTACTGCATTTTAACTTAAATCTTGAAATTAATATATGTCTAAATTGGGCTGATTAGGTATCAGTACGAGCATTTCTCATTTTATTGTGCTTCTCTTTATTATGCTTTGCAGATAGCGCATTTTCACAAGAGCCTCCAAAAGCAAAAAGATTATGACTTGCTGAAGGCTCAGATGATGGTTAATATTTTTTAGCAATTAAGGATTTTTTAATTAAGGCATGTACATTGTGTTTTTAGACATAATGCTATTGCACACTTTATAGTATAGTGTAAACATAACTTTTATATGTACTGAGAAACCAAAAAATTGATGTGACTTGGTTTATTGTGATATTAGCTTTATTACAGCAGTCAGGTACCAAACCCACAACATCTCCGAGGTATGCCTGCACACACAAAAACATGAGATATGCTTCCTATCCGTTTTTCTTCAGTGATTCCTTTTCCAGCGTGTATTCTTTGGTTGTGTTGTATTTCTGCCTTTTGTCTTCTCTACGTAGGTCACATTCTATTATGTCAGGATCAATGATCAAAAATGAAAACCATCTAGTAAGTCTTCTCTCTAGAATTAAAAACAAACAAACAAACAACTAAAAAACACAGTCAGGAAGCCAAGACTTTAGGTAGCAATATTTTCCACAATTTTTGAAGCAGCTTAGCAGTGCAACCACGTGGTAAGGAAAAAAAAAGGAAACTATCTTTGTTTTCTCACATTGTAGGTTTTAGCAGATGGTGCAAAGAATGAGTACAATGGGAACTTAAAAAAAATATGTTTCAGAGATTAAATTGGTGTTTGAGCCTGAGTCCCTTTATTATGAGTTTATGAAAACAACCGTAAACAAAATATTTAAGCCTAAGTTTATTCTGAACTACATTGGCTTAATAATATAAAACACATTTGAAGCAAAAGAAAAACATTCCAAAATGTTGGAATAAAAATTGATAATATGTTATGTGTTTAAAATGTCCTAGGTTCTGCTCACAGAATTTTGCCTGGAGTTTCTCATTGAATTCTCCAAAAAAGCGCTATGAGATTAGTTTGATTATTATCCTCATTTTATTGATGAGAAATTAATATATGGAGTGGTGCAGTGGCTGCTTACTTCATGTATCTAGTACATAATTTTCAGGTTTAGAGACCAGTCAGCTCAACTCTAGAGACCATACTCTCTCAACACTGACTATGTTGTGTTTATCAATTGTTAGGTGGAAAATATTCCTTCTTTCTTTCAATCTACAAATATTAAATGAGTATGTACCACTGCCCAGATACAAATCTAGGAACTGTGTTATGGCACTGAACAAACCCGACAAGATACTGTGTCCTTACAAAACTTATATTCTACTGGAGGCAAAGGGATATTATTTCTATAGAATTTCCTTTTTTATCACCATGGTAGGCAATTAGCTAGCAACAAGAAGAGTAAAAGTTTGGTCGTATAATTTTGTAATCATATGTGTTATTTCATTCAACTAAGTAGGAAGAATAAAGAATAAATAATTTTTGTCCTGAAGTCAAAGAAATGGCAGTGAGAGTCTGATAATAACTTAGTGGTTCTCATCATAGATGAGCAATCCAAATGAATGAGCTTAGAAAAAGAGGTAGACTTGGGTTTTATTGCTTGAAAAGTCTATAAACAGATGAAAATGAAACTCTTGCATAGGAAGGATTTTTGGAATTTTCAGTACTCCCAAAAACGAAGAAGAGAAAGCCTCAAAGTTGGACACAAAACCTAGCAGATTTCTGGAGCAGATTCTAAAAATGATGACCAAATCAGGAGTATTATAATATAAAGGATGGCACAATGAAGAGGCAAATAAATAAAATATTGTATATAGTTAGAATTGATAAGTGTCAAGGAGAAAAATGAAGTAGAGAAAGGCCTTAGGATTGTTGGAGAAAACTGAAACTTTATGTAGAGTGGTGTATTAATTAAAGGAACACTGATTGTTCTAAGAAATAAACGATAAAGTATGTGGCAAAAATGAGATGAAAGTTTTGTTTGTTCGTACGGAGTCCAAATTAGTCTTCCTGGTCAGTGGTAATATTCCTCTAAATGATGATTTAGGAACCCTGTGTTTTTGTATCTTGAGGTTCTGGTGATTTGAACATCTGTATCAACCACAGAGATGGGGAGGGCCTGGGGAATATTGCATGGGAAGTTTTTATGTCAAAGAGACTGTAGTATGTAGTCTATTTGTGTACCCAGGAATATGAGGAAAACTGGTTATTAGTTAGAAGTACCCACAAATAGATTTTTAAAATATGCATTAGCTAGTCATTAGCTGGAAGTAACTGAAAATAGATTCTTACATAAAAACTATTAGGAGGAGGTCAGAAACAGAGGAGATTAGGAACTGAGGGGATTTTCAGATATTTAGGGAAAGAACATTCAAAGCAGAGAAAATGGTCAGATTGAAGGCCCTCAGGTGGAAACTTATTAGCGCATTTCATAAAGAGTACGGAATGTAACAGCAGAAGATCAGGGAAATAACGCCAGATCCTAAAGAACCTGTAGGTCATTTTAGGGTCTTGTTTTTCTCTTGGATGAGACAGAGTGTCATTGGATGGATTTCAGTAAAGGAACGATGTGACTGATTTAATATCTAACACAATCACTTTTGCTGCTTGTTGACTATAGATTGAAGAAGTCAAGGTTATAAAAAGGTAGATTAACTTGGAATCAATTGCAATAATGGAGGTAAGCAATAGCGATGGCTTGGCCCAGAGTGTGCAAAAGTCTAGGTTTTGAGAAATGATCAGATTCTGAATACATTTGGGGGATTTGATATGACAAATGAGGTGAAAAATTAAACAAGTATGATAGCCACTATTTTGCTTAAACAACTAAAAAAAATAAGAGCTGTAATTACTGAGAAAACGCAGGTTACGTTAGAAGTTCAGCTTTGGACATGATAAGTTGAAAAAGTTTGTTGCAATGGGTAGTTGGATATGAGTCTAATAATAAGGATGGGGGATTTGGGTGTCAACAGCAGACATTTATAGCCATGAAAAAGACTGAAATTACCAAGAGAGCACAATATGTTAATATATTGTATAATGTAAAAAACAGTCATTTGTGGAAAAGACTAGATATAAACAAATAGATGTTAATAAAAATGATGTTGACAAATACACGGACAAAGAGAACACATTAGTGGTTATCAGAGGGGAAGAGGGTTGGTGGGTGGGCATAATGGGTAAAGGGGCACATATATATGGTGACTGACAAATAATAATGTACACCTGAAATTTCACAATGTTATAAACTATTATGACCTCAATAAAATAAAATAAAATAAAATAAATTAAATGATGTTGATGATAACACTAGTACAACCCAATTTTTTTCATTTCTATTAGAAATGACATTGATTTTTGCCTTGAAATTTTGCTTAAAAAGAAAAAACTCAGTTGATGTAAAACGCCAGCATTTCCTAATGTACTCCAGGTTTACGAAAAAACTATTATCTGACTGAAACTAATTATTACAGATAGGAATTAACATTGACATTTTATCACCAGTTATAGATTTTATAATTTTACTACAGCCACCTCTTTAAGACATTAATAAGTTAATTTAATGAAACAAACTAGACTCAGGAACTGTGATACAGGTAATTTCCTTTGACATATTATAAATTCCACCATGTCATATTGTGGAAATCAATTTATTATTTTACAGTGCATGACTCCTTAACATGTTTATTTTACCATGTTGCTAAATGAAAACATTTAAAATTGAATACTCATTTCAGATATTTTTTTCTTAGTACAATAGAATAAATTTTATTATATGAAAATGTGTTATTCCATTGCAATTATAATCCTTTGTAAAAGATCTTCTTTAAATATAAATATACATTAAGTAAGCCTATTTTATGTTTTCCATTTTTAGGTTATATTTTCTTTCACACAGTTGTAATATTTTAATTATAATGTAAGAATTAATATTCAAATCAAATTATGACAATATATATTTTAATAATTCCTACGTTTAAAAAAATACTAGTGAATATATTGTTCTCCCTATTGTAGCCACTCTTCAGTGTCATGGTGGACTTCCACCCAAAATTTAGTTCAGATGTTGAGACTGATGATGAGACACACACACACACTCCCCCCCCCAAGAGGGTTTGAAAAGGTTTATTATTAACATGATGAGGGTTTCTGGAGAAAGTAGGGCAGACTTCCCAAACTGCTCCAAACAATGGCTTCCAGGCAAGAGAGTAGGAAAAGGAGACAGGCTTTGGGTTTTTATGAGTTTAGGGACCTAGGTAAGGGTTTCTGTGCAACTCAGGGCTTACGTGGTTTGACCTTCCCACTGGTAGCACAGCAGTCAGCATCGCTCCTTCCCATTAGCTTTCTCAGACGTGGGGCAGAGGGGGAAGAAAAAGGGATGAAGCTTAAAGGATGTCTGAGGCAAACAAAAAAGTGGAGTCGGACTCTTTAATGCACTCACTCTGAAGAAAAATGAGAAAACTATAATTTACTTGATAATTAGAATGTTTGTAGTATTATCACAAAAGACATAAAATTCTAAGACGAAAACTGTGGACTACTCTTAAGCATTTCTTTATGAAACGTTACTAATGGTATATGGTTTCTTTAGTATGATTGTTCTAAAAGTTGTTTTAAAAAAGAGAGGGTGAAATACATATTGCTGAATAATAAAACACCATTCTATAACTCTCTATAAGTTTATATTTAGATCTAAACTGACATCTGGATTTAGAGCTAGATAATTCTCTTCCTTTTAATTTACCTGTATAAAGTCTTAATTTTTAGTCCTTTTGGACATTTTGCATTCTTTCCCATATGAATTCTTTGTAGCTACTTAAACACACATGCACACACACACACACAGTATTCTTAATATTAATGTAATTCAATGGTAATTCACTTTAAAGGTTAAATGTTACCTCTCACTGATTTCTAAAAGTCTTGGGAAACTGCACGAAAGATTGCATTACTAAAAATCAAAGGTATATGCAAAGTTATAGTGGAAAGGAATTTAGTTCCTCCTTTTATGTAGCAGAGACGTTTCTCACCTGTTTCCAAATCCTACGGAATTGATTAGAGAATGATACTATGTGTGCATGTCTATATTTGATGTATTTGGTTGGAATTTTCACACTGGAGAAAGCTTGACAAAGACAGAACATGTCTACAAAAACCAATTTGTTTACTGGTAATTGGGTACACTCCCCTTGTATTACTGAAGTTGTAAATTTGAATAAAAGCTTTTCCCTTGTATCTCAGCCTTTCTTTGATGATTTGTTGCCAAGAGAATGACAGTAATGCCATCAATTTATTGTTATGACTAAAGCACTGGGAAGGCATTCAAATGCAGTTTGATACGGCATTTAAAGAAAAAATGCTTTAGTACATTTTATTATAGAATTATAAATCCTCTACCATTAAAATTTATGATGTGACAAAGACATGCTAGGTGCCATATTGTTAACCATAATTTAAGAAAGGTAATGTTTTAAAACTTGATCAAATTACCAATCACCTCTTTTTTGACATTTATACTTACAAGCTGATCATAAGATATA